CCGCCGCCCTCCCAGCAAAGTGAAGCGGGAGCTGGAGGAAAAGGCACCCCTCCCGGGAACATCGAGGTCGACCTGTACCTTCTGCCCGAATCTTTCTCCGGGCTGATCTCCGGGGACTTCGGGCCCCTCCTGGTGCTGTCTTGCCGTGTCTGTCTGGAGGAGAAGCCGCTGAAGCCGCTGCCGTGCTGCAAGAAGCCAGTCTGCGAAGCGTGCCTCAAGCGCTATCTCAGCTCGCAAGTGGGTACAGCTTTTGCGCAGTTGTCCTTGGCCTGCCCTTCTCTCCCTTTCCCCAAAGCGGCTGCGGGACTCGCCCCTCCCCCCTCCCCCCTCCCCCTCCCCCACGGGGCCCTCGGGCGTGTGCGGGAGGCTCTCCCTTGTTTGCCTCCTAGGGCGATCCCGAGTTCCCCGTTCTCCTTCTGTCTCCTGCGGGCGACCGGGTTTAGGAAGCGGCGCGGACAGCTGTAAAATCCGTGCTGGGATTAGCGCTCGGCACATGGGCAGAGTTCTTTCCTTTGAGTCCGCGAAAACCTCCTCTCTACCCCACCTACACGCGCACACATACTTAGGGGAATGAAGCTTCAAGACTGTAGCCTCCAGTCAGGAAGATAGGGAAGACCTCCGTGAATTGTTCTTCTAGGTCTTAGATTCCCATCCCCTTGTTTTCCTTTCTCCTGTGTGAACATCGGGCTGCTCGGGTGTGGAACGTCCCTCCTTTTTATGTTCTTCCTGAACGAATACCTAAATTATTCTTGTTATCTTTCACATGTTATAGGGTCACCTTATTTTCTACCACTGTCCCCCTCCCCAATTCCTGTTCAGTACACCACCGTGTATTCCTTCTTTTCTCCACTATTTCCTGCCTCCTTTCCTGTTCTTCCTTTCATCTCTCCTTTTCATCTCATTTCTCTTTGCTCCATTTCACAAAACTTCTAAGGGAAAAAAATACCATGTATTTTCCCTTTCCCCTAAAAGACACAAATGTTACACTTTGCTTGAAGCCTCATGCCTCTTTAGTGGGGAGAGAGTGGTGATTAATATCAGCTGATTGTTTGTCATAGAGGCATAGAAGGCAATGCGGTGAGCAGATCTTCCAAATTGTTTCCCACAGCTAGGCTGGATCCGATCCAGTTAGTACATGAATGGGAGACCTGGAATGGAATAAATAGAAAGGGGGGGGGGTGGAAACATCCTCGGAGAAGGTAGCAGCAAATTCTTCCATGTTGTTGTGGAGAAAGCTACATGGACCTATCCAGGTAGTCAGCAGAAATCAAGCTCAACTTGAAGGAGACTTTAATTTTACTTTACTCAGTACTGTAGGAAATGGCATATGGTATCTGGCATTTTCTTGTGAATAAACTTTATTCTTTTTCTCTCAATACCAAACAATCCATTGGTGTTCTAATGCTTGGGCTCTGTTGCAAATCATATAACTGCAGCTCCTCCTATGGAACAACCCCCCCCCTTGTCTGCAATTATTCTTTTTTTAATGTTACCTACACATGAGTTTCTGTGTTGTGTTTTGATCCTTCTCTCCTAAGAATTACCTTCACCAGAGCTCCATTTTGTATTTCTTTTAGGGCTAAAATCAGTGCAAGGATATTAAAAAAAAAAAAAAAAAGATGTAAATGGACTTATTGCTCTGGGAGGGGAAAAAACTTGGAATGTTGCAGTAGAACAGCATGTGAGAAAGCTTTTCAGTTTTTTCAAAACTGTTCAAGCTAGTTAAGAAAAATGGTGTAAGAGTGAAGGAGATGAGCACAATTGTTGGAACAGCCTGAAGTTTGTGCAGTGCTAGTTTACTTATCAACAAGTGTTCCTACGTGTTGCTGACATTTTCACTTGGTTTTTTTCTTTATCTCATATTTGACAATATTCCCCATAATTTTTACAAGAGAGATTGGCTGGGTTCATACATCACTCTAAGCTAAGGCTTGTTTTAACTATAATTTTCTGAGTTAGGTTCCTACATTCTGCTAAGCCAACCATGTTTTGTAAATGGATTACACAGTGTAAGTCAAAACCAAACAAACTATGTTATGCTTTAGTATTGTGTGAACCTAGGTAATTGTAGTTTATTTAACAGACTGACTTAACAAGATAAGTGAATCACGTCAGTAATTGACTTTCTAGTTTAAAACGTAGAAGTCGAATTTTAATTGGATGCACAGCTTGGATATATGTTTAACCAAAATACTTTTTTTATGCTATGGAATAGCTGTAGTTCATCAAGGTCAGTTGTAATTATTTTTGTATTCATATAGAATGTTTAAAGACCAAAGTGATCTTTTATTTCTATCTTCTATTTACAAATGTATTTAAAGCTTTTATACTCTGCTGTTCAGCTGAAAATATTCTTAGAACAGATTACAATTATCAGAAATTGTAGACAAAATATAGAAGGAAAAGAAGATAAGAGAGAAAAGAAAAACTGATTTTTATATTGACAACCTTATGACATAGGAGCAGGCTATGCAAGAGTGATGTGGCTAAGCAGTCTATAAAGATGTTGAACCCCACTTCTTCATATTTATATCGAAGAATCTAATGTACTACAGGAGTTTTGTCTACATGATTGACCTAAATGCTGTTTTCTTTATGGCTACATTTTTGTGGTATCTTTAAACTGAGAGTTGTTGGGATATGTAACTGGATGAAAGGTTCTTTAATATTTTACATTTATATGAGGTTTTGCTCTCTTGTTCCAATAAAAAAATCTATGCTCAGTTTTGGTGCTAATTTTTTTTTTTTTTAGTTTCTAGTCTAGATGCGCTATCTCCTTTTAAAAAATAGTTTATTCTTTTTATTTTACAGCTTGATAGAAAATTCAGGTCTTTCAGGATATGTGGAATGTTGACTTGCTGATAGTGTCTACTGATAGAGACACTTCCTCATTTTATTCTATAAAATTTCCCAGTATGTCCAGGCAGTAATTTTACCTCTCAATTTTTGTAGAGGCTGAGGGAACTGGGCAATTTTGAGAGACTAGTGACATTATTTGAAGCAGTTAATCAGGGTACTTTATCTAGAAAAACCTGGTATTTGTGTTTGATTTTAATTTTAAACAGATACACACAAACACATGTGAATTATAAAAAGGGCTTTAATTTCATGGTGGACTTTTTTGTACACAATGGAAGATAGTATTGTATGCTTGCATAGTTTAGTTGTATGTTTAACTGTACTCTGGCACTTAATAAGTATGTATGTTGAAGGGAAGTTTAAAAAAAGTAGTACATAACATGACTGTAATGTTCCAAAAGAGCTTTATATCTATTCCTTCAATAAACTTAGAACATCCTGTGAATAGGTCGGTGTTACATTGTATATCATTTGTGATGTTCTTTTTTCTAGAAAGTACAGAGCGGTATTTACCATAATCCAGCAAACACTTATAGTGAAATATCATTTTAACTTACTAGTTGGGGAGAGGGGGTATCTGTTATTGATTGTCAATTAAATATAGAAGCTTGTATCACTGTGTGGAACTATGTGTGAAGATGCTGATTTTAGCTAAGTATCAAGCTTTCATTCATTCCAAATCATAATTAATCACATGGGTCTTTATTCCAAAAATAATAAATTGTATTGAATAGGATTGCATATTCTTTTGCATCATAAGTGGCAAACAGTTACTTTCTCTTGAAGGTGCTTAGCTTCAGAGGCAATCTGTTGGGATGGCATATCTGAATTGATAATTTGAAGACACTTGAAATTGGGCTGGGGTTTGAAGTACAGTGGTACCTCTAGTTACGAACTTAATCCGTTCCGCGACTCTGGTTGCAACTTGAGTTGGTCTCAAGTCGAGGTAAAGTTTCCCATAAGGTTCAATG